AAATAGCTTTTTCACATTTTGGTATTATTCCATTTGTTTTTAACTGTCTTCATTTATCAAGATGTTAGTCATTTACAAAAAAAAATCTCTCGGCTGGACACAATGATTAATATAAAAATAACTATAGGTACTTTCTCTCCTAAATTAAAAATAATAAGTAAAATCAACGATTTCCGAAGGCGGACTTATTTTTTGCGATCTTCCGAAGCAAATTCCACATTAGATTTAATCTATTACCTAAAAATAGACTACAAAATGAGAACTGTTTTGATAATTTTTGTATTTTTTTTTTTTAATTTTAATTATGAGGAAATTTATGTGGATTTTTTGACAGATTCATCTTTGAACAATGAATGTGACAAGATCAGATGATATTTATGTATCCCATTTTATCTTGATTGATGCTTTATTTTTAGTGCGGTTAGCGAGCGTCAAATGTAAATGGCACCAGTATTGGTGGCAAAAGGCTTTTATTGTAGTTTTAATAAGGATTCCAAATGGTTCTCACTGCATTCAAATCCTTCGTCGGGGCGGGCCAACTAGACAGATTCTAGTCTTAAGGAGGTTTTGGTGGATGTAATAAAGGCAAAGCTGTCTTGATCAGGGTTTTGTGAATTTTGTTTTATAGTAGCCTTATAGTACTTCATAAAACGTGAAATGTTACTTGGGTTGTACAGCAGAAATTAAAATTATGAAAGCATTCTTAATTGCTTTTATTTTGTGAAAATTAATAAGAATGTCCACATTAAAATGAATTCGAAGAGACAGACTCGGCGGCTTAGAGCCCCGACTCTTAAACATGATATATAGCAAACAAGAATTCAAATTGCATCCAATTGATGATTCAATGTTCCAAGTCTTGAAATTAATATTTTGTTCCATGCAATTTAATCGTCAATATTGTTTTATTTCTGAAGCTGGTTTTACTAAGATTTTGTAGTTTTATTCCCAAAATCCCAGGTTGTGTAAAAATCTTAATGTTTTACTTTGGATCTTCGAAACATTCTTAGTCTCTTAGGGACCTGCCTTAGCTAAGCCGGTAAAGGCGCAGCTTCAAATCAAGATCATGCTGGAGGTGGCTGGGTTCGATTTCCGGTCCCTGTGTAAGAATTCTTCGGAATGGAAATTTTTTCGACTTCCCTAGGCATAGAGTATGATTGTACTTTCAATTAATAACTGTGACAGTGCATCTAGAATACTAAATTGAGAGCACGCAATAAGCTTATATGCGATAAGCAATAAGCTTGAAATGCGACGAAGAAGAAGAAGAATAAGAAGAAGAAGAAGGCCCCATAACGTGGGTAGATCACCTCTTCGTGGTACGTTACGGACGGGATGTAAGATGTACCACCGATTCCTAGCCCTGACTACTTCAAACTAGGGGATCAGGATTTTGCAGTAATCAAAAGAACACATCTTAGTATTTGTTAATTTGTATACCTTCTTGATAGTGACAAGACTCGGTTTTGTCCACCGAGGACGATCTTGAAACAAGGAAAAAATGAGTTAGTTAGTCTTCATCTATGTGATTCCTTATCTTCTATTTGTTGTACCGTAAAACGGGGTATCTTTGATAATGCGGGTAACTTTGATAGTATAATAAAAAGAATAAATTTACTCGCTGTGTTTTTTTTTTTCAAATAAGAAACTTTGTTTCCATATTGAAGCTTAGGGTATTTCCGTTGATATCGTATATAGTTTTTATGTAGAATGTGTTACATATTTTATTAAAATATTAAAAAACCATTTTCGTGTTTTTCGCCTTTTTGAAAAACCACTCAAACCATCACTTATGAAATGTATTTCCGATACAGCCATCACAAATTCAATGTTGTATTCTTATTGCTTATAAAGTTTTCTGATTATATACTCATTTAAAGTTTCATATTTAAAGAACTAAATTGTTTGAGTTTCACTAATTTTTTTCTACATTCATCGAGCATTATCAAAGTAACCCCAAATCAAAATACTGAAGTTCGGTCACAAAACTAAAAAAATAGTGCAAATGCTTTAATTTTCGTTCAACATATTACTAACGAATTAACTCTTGAATCCTCAGTACTTGTTTTAAAAATATAAAATTTGAAAAACAGTCATTGCTGTAAAAAATATTTAGAATATACTTTAAAAAACTATCAATGTTACCCCGTTTTACGGTAGCCTAGTTTGAAGTGGTTAACTAGGGTTCTTATGCATGGTCATTATAATTGTCATTCCTTAATTTTGTTGCTAAGGAATCCAATTTTGACTGACAAAAGGGCGTGCTTTTGATCTTATATTAATATCTATACTGCCTATAATCCCATATCAGTCCCATATGGAAAAAGTAGGCATTGAGAAAATAGCAGTTGAAGTTACGGAGTGCAATTCCATGTAAATATTCTAAAAATCATAGTGATCTACTTGATATTTTTTCAAGTTAAAATCGGTAGCAATGAAGCCTGCACAATTAGTTATATCAGCGAAAAATATGGCGAAACAAAAAACAGAACTGTAACTTGACTTGTGGACGGTTCAGAATGGGACTGATATGCGATTACTTTGCTTGATGGGACTTGATGTTGTTTTCACATTTTTCATGTGTTATGAATGTAGATGCCAATTGATAGTGGATAGCATTATTATCTTAAAATTGACGAATATCAATATACGACTGATATACAATTATAGGCAGTATAGTATCCAGCACACAGCACAGTATTGCATTTCCCAGACTCTAACTATATCATTTGATCATCTCTCATTAACACCGTTGATCACATTATCACAAAAATGGTGCAAAAGGAGAAACCCTTTCGGTTACATTTGTCTCAATCTTCTTTCCCAGTAGAACAGGCTGTCTAGGTCAGCACTATACACGTCTCGCCTCTGACTGATTTGAGGTCTCAGCATCAAACGCAACCCCCCCCCCCCCCCCCAACGGTTGACCCGATCCAGTCATCGAGGGATACCCTTTTCATCAGATGTAGAATCCTCGCACACAGCAGAAAAAGACGGAGACGTTTCTCATCAATAACAATCACCATAGCAAAGGAGCTGTCGGTGTAGTCGAGTCGTTGCCACTCTATGGACGACGCAATTCATCGTTTCGTTGAGTCGTATCGCTTCTGTCTTTACTGAGTAACATGGTCTAGGATCAACACCCCATATTATCTTTCTCTCTAGCTGGAAGATGACCAGGATATAAGATAATAAAACCAAAGATTTTATTGCGATGGACACAACATTTTGGTCACAATCTTTATCACCACCGGCGATGATCCGCCTCCGCTCACTAAGGAGCGTCAGCTTCTCGGTATTGATCATAATAATCCTCCCCATCGGATGAAATCAAACTGTCGTCGTTGTCATGGAGCATAAATTGTATTAGTGAAGGCCCTCCTTGGCTGACACCGGGGACAATCTTCATTGCTTCATTTTGTATTTATAGCCAAATAATTCCACCCCGGTAGCCTCTCTTTGTGATGATTGTGGTCTCATTGGGGGACAATCCTGACCATTCGCTAGACGTCACTGACACGTGATGGAAATTTTGAATATACATAGTGAGGATTCAATGTCCCATGTGGCCCATGTAATTCACTGTTATCTGTCTGGTTGATGGGTTCAGAAAAATCGTAAAGCAAACGATGAACTTTTGACTAAGTAAGCAACACATAATACACACACACACACAGTCGAATGCATTTCGGATCAGACTCCGGTGGACGGACTTGGTTTTCTGCTTGGGACCTTCTTTGTAAAGTAAATTGCAAATTTGCCAGAAGGCGCGCGATAGGGGAAAGTTTTTCCTTTTTCCAGCGAGTGGTAGTTTGTCGGTTGATTCAGTTTGCGTTCATACAATTTGAAGTCAAAAAGGGCGAGTGGAGGGAATGAAATATTTTAGTGTATGTTTGATACAAGAACCAGATTCAATTTGTAGGAATACTACAACATGGTCATTTGTACATTCAATCGAAATGATTTGGAAGACTAGTTTTTGCTGGAACGTTTAATTTCCGTGACATACCTATTTTGATATAATGAATAATGAATCTATGACGAAAGGTCTAGCTCTAGTGAAGTGGGCTCAACATATAGTTGTTGTTAAATCCATGAACCGTTAAGCTGGACGTGGCGAAATTAACGTGATGTGCGAAAATTGTATGAAGCTTGCAATGCGATGAAATTGGGTCATCGCTCGCCTTGTAAAATACCGTTGAAATTAACTTACTGACTCATGGAGAAATGCGCGTAGAAAATGACATTTTCCGATTGTTATATCATACTTTTCAAAGATTGGCAACATGTATTGGGTGGAACCCAGAGAGCTTCGGGTCTGGTTATTTTTCACGCTAGATCATAGACAAGGACTAAGCCTGTTATCGAAATAGAAGGTGACAAAATCTCGAATCGGCATGTCAAGCAAATTCGTGTAATTGTAATTGTCAATGATCCACATTTTTGCTCAATTCGGCAATTTTGGATATAGCAAAATTTAAAAAATTGCGTCCTTGAAATTTTTCAAAAAATTGTAGCACGGAAACGGTATTTCGGATCGACTGGACTTTCCTCTTTCGTCAACTTTGTATAGATCCAGAGTTCTCTTTGCTTGTCATCAGAGTCGTCTAATCTTGACTTATGAGTTTGCTTTGTCATCCTTCGAGGTCCTCCGGGCTTACATTTGACATCTGAGTCAAGATAGCTGATGAAACATTAGATCTTATATTTACGAAAGACGTGAACTGACAATATTTCAAGGATGCACTTTTCAGATAGAAAACTCACGCCCGCGCAATTTAACACCATCTACCTTTGTCCTACCAGTAGATTTATCCATGATTTCATACAAGTTTAACTCAAAATCACACGAGGCATATTTTACGCGACGATTAGAATTCATTTTGTTTTTCTGTGTAGGATTTCGGAAGTTATCCTCGTATCTAACCATCCCGCAAAATGATACGACTTATTTAACATATTTAACCAAAACAATATTCTTATCGTTCCACGCTACTTACCCTGACAACATTTCCGTACAGGCAGAAGAGATTGAACAGCTTATCAGTGTTGGCCGTGTTGTTGTCGAGTCCGTAGACCATCATCACTGCGCCCTGGAATGAGAGAACCGGAAAACAAACAATCAAAATTTGCTCTTGAAAAGTCATGTTCAGTTGGTTATTTATACAAGCACGCGAAACGGAGGAAATCTTTTCCACTTGGGAAATCACCGCTGAAAAGCTGACCATTGATCATTTCGGCGTGATTCAATTAAAAGATAACAGTGAAAATCGAATGATTGCCACCGCTTTCGAGACCCCTTCGGAGAAAACAGAAAAACCGAACCGATTGGACCGTATTTTCCCGCTGAACAAATGCAATAAACTTGGCCGACATAAAAAGCGGAAATAAATCAGTTTTCGCTGTAACGCTGTTTTCGCACGATGCAGAAGACACGGTAAACGGCAGGACGACACTTGAGTTAGTGGAACGAAAAAAAAAATAACAAGGGTCTATTAAATTTAAATCATCAGTATCGCAACAAATGCCCAGGAAAAACATGAGAAATGGCCCGGATCATAAGAACCGAACAGCAAAAACCTGGCTGGTGACTGGCAAGCAAAAACAATAACAAACACAACCAGAGGAAAATCATTGAAATAAATAACTTGAGAAAGCATGCCCAAGTGCTCTCTATCTGTTTGTGCTGGGTGTTTGCTCATTGCTACTGATTTCAATTCAACAATCATTGCCAAGGAAAGGGGGAAAATTCCTTGCGCTGTCTTTTGCAGTCACCGGGCAGAAAGCATCACGACAGCGTGCAAATGTAAGTTAAGAATTATTTACCTATTTCATCAAAATATTTCAAATATGTATCCGCTAGCTGTGGGCGAACTCACCCCCAGTAGAAAGGGTTCCCCGCTGATGAAATGGGGAAAAGTAGTTACTTTGAGATGACGGTACGTGTGCTTTTTGTGCTGCCAACATCGCTGATGATGCCCCGTCAGCACTATTTCTTCTGCAGCCAAACGTCACGGACTAAATTAAATAAATTTGCAATTTGTTTCGTCCCACGTCAACGGTCCGACGAAACGGATGAAGGTGGAATGTGTCTGTTCATTGAGGAAGAAAGTTGGTTTGCTAGGAATGGACATGGAATACGTTTCTGGGCAATTAATTTCCTAGCCTATTAATTAACTTCTACGAGCCACCCTTAACAGGGGAGCGATTTCAACTTGTTTTTTTTTAACGTAGGACTACGTCTGTGATTTCTATATGGCGGTACACTTTGTGAAAACCAAAAATGGAACATGTAACAAAATTATGAAAGATTTTGAACGTTAATAACTCAGCTGCCCCTGAACCAATAACAATAAATTTATCACCAATTGATCAAAAATATTTCTACGCATCTGCTAAAATTAAGACTTTATCATTTTTCAAAATGTCACTATTGAAAATTGCACGAATGTGCAACTGTTGTTATGATAGTTAAAATTATCACCGATTGGCGGCGAAAAGCGAATTCTCTAACACAGATTTCAAAGTTGAAGTCCATCCGGTCTCACCAAAAGGTGTGTATTCAATCACCGCGTGGTGAGTGGTGGCGTTCTCCAGTACACAACGAAAGGCTCCCCACAAGCAGCTAGCTATCGAGGCTGCCCTCAACCGTTGATCGAATTCAGTTTCAATCACCGTGTGTGGTGGTGTACGGTCGAAGGGTATCAGCAGCAGCAGCAGTGCTTTCGGTGCATGGCGTTGAACATAGAAGGAAGAAGATGCCGCACCGCTATTGATCGATATAGCTCTTCGTGAGTCACTGTGGGCCATCTATGCCAAGCGCGTCATACTAAAGAGTATAAACAGAAAGAACCCCGCTCCTACATAAAACACAAGCTCCTGCTGCAGTTAACAAATAGCTTTTATTATATAAGACCAAGTAGTCCTACATCACCATTCCGTACAACCCCAAATGGCTGTCCTAATTTGCCAAACACTGGTCTCAATCGTTCACAAAAAGAGTGAAGATTTGAAATCTATGCAGACCAGGCCATGTGTGTACTTATTCGCCAGTTATTGAAAAATGTTGTTCTAGACTTTTTCTGAACTGTTTAACTGTTTAACTCTTTTATAAATTAAAAAAAAATCTGGTGTGGAGTACTTGGCACTGATGAAGTCTGCAAGTAGTAGACGAAATACGCGTATCTGTCAAAAAAATAAGCAATTATAACGGAATTTAAGGGGAATAAACAAACACACTCAAAGCTCTTGATAAAGGGATTCCGTTGAGAGGTTTGACAAATTTTAAAGATTAAACATTCTGGTCAATCTCCATGAATTATGTGTGACCGCTTGTAACCAGTTTCAGCAAATTTGGATGAAGTTTAACGAAAAAATAACAAAATGTAAAAACAATACTCGTTAAGGTTGATAGTCTAAGGCTTCAAAAACGCACAAATGTCAGCTTACACAAAACATACAATACTTAAATTGCTACTCTCTGTTTGTTGCAGCGCAGCAACCAACAAGTAGCAATTACAGACTTAATGCTTCGAATATTTACTTCTTCCTGCAGTAATGAAGCCTCGGAGTTGATGTGAGTGATGCGCCACACCCTTGGTGGATCATGGCAAGATGTCGATGGCTGGTTGGACGTCGAAACTTGATTCCAGCACCTTGCATGGTTAGTTGGAGTTGAAAAGAGATGTAGTGTCATTCAATATTGGTGTTATATAAAAATGTGTGTTCAATTTGTAGCTGGATTAGTTTCCTGCAATATTCTGATACCCCTTGTTTGGAAACCCAAGGGATCGGTCAATGTTGGGATCGCCATCAACAAAGAGTCTCACTCCATTGAATGATTCGGTCCATAAATAAATAAGCATAAGGAAATCTTATCAATATCGATTGATTATTTCGCTGAGTGAACATTATTTCGAATGTCGTTGTCGTTGAACAAAGTGCACCGAAACAAATGCTGCAATCGACAACTACAACTGTTGCCGTCGGTCTCGACAATAACAAAAAGCGAACTGATGTGAAGTGAGATGTGATAAGTGAGGTTTTTTGCAGCAAGATATGGAAAGTGAGAATTGAAAATGTATTTGATGAGATGTGAGAAGTGAGATATAATAAATGATAAATCAATGAGTAAGATGAAAATAAATAGGAGTGAGATTAATAATGGGATCCAGGAGTGAGATATTATGAGACAAGAGGAATGAGATGAAATGTAATTACTGGTATTGCGAAAAACTAATATGAGAAAATAATGCGTCAGCAGTGAATAGTGAGAAGTGTAGTTGTAAAAGATGTGTGATATGAATGACTGGGAAATATAGATATGCATCATGTGAGAGAAAAAGGGACAGTTTATCTAACGTTGGTCTTTAGATCTTAAGAATGGATCCAACGATAAAAATCTGGCTTTGTCTAGACAAATGGCTGTTAATTAAAATTTGATCGAAAATGCTTAATTTCGGAATTAATGCTTGGGCACAATATTACGGACTATTAGGGTGTTTAACACGAATGAGGCTGGCGAGCTGTATGTTGTTTGGAACAACGGTGACGCATTTTGGCATAGATGACCCACAGCGTCTCAAGACGAGCAACTGAATCCGATCAGTAGCGGTGCGGCTTCTTCCTACTTTTTCCGTGAATCGAGGGCTCTTGAGGGCAGTCTTGATAGGTAGCTGCTTGCGGGAAGCCTTTCGTTGTGTACTGGAGACAAATGTACAACGCCACGTGCTGAAAGCACTGCTGTTGCTGCTGCTGATGACGACCGGATACCACCACTCACCATACGCGGTGATTGAATACACACCGATCGGAGAGACCGGACGAAATTCGATATTGAAATCTGTGTTAGGGAAAGCGTTTTTCGCAGGCAATCAGTGATATTTTTAATTATCATAGCAACAGTTGCACATTCACGCAAATATCAATACTGACCTATTGAAAATTGATAAAGTCTTAATTTTAACAGATTCTTGAAAAAAATTCTTATCGATTGACGTATTAAGAAGTAAAATCCATCAGATCACGTTCATGCTGCGACCGACTTTGGTTTTTGAAATTGCACCCCCAATGTTGTCTTAAAAATACATGTTATTTTAGATTTAAACTTCTGGGAACTGGCATCCAATTGAAGACTTTCACAAATGTCCAGAAAATACTCTTTATTAAATTCATGGTGGTTCTGAAAAATGACCGTTTTGCCGTGATGGTTGCGTGATGCTAAGCTATTAGGGTGTTCAAAACAGATGAGGCTGGCGAGCTGCATGTTGTTTGGAACGAGGGTGACTCGTTTGGAATAGATAACCCACAGCGACTCACGAAGAGCTACTGAATCCGATCATTAAAAATTGATAAAGCAGATTCGTAGAAAAAAATTCAAATGGATTGGTTTGTTTAGAATTACAATCCATCCGCTATTGACAGAGTTATAAGTAGTCAAAACCTGACCACTTTTTGTAACGCGGTCGATTTTTTGAAATTGCACCTCCAATATGTTGCCGAAAGCGGTAATCCTACGTCAAAAACGTTCAATTATTCGTTAAAAAAATTGCTACTCAAATAAGCGTAAAAAATCGAAAAGTTTGAATATCCGAAAAATCCTATGTTAGATTTTTACATTGCGGACAGAAGAATCAGCTAAATTGATCGAATAGTCTCCGAGATCCCTGTCTTGTAAGGTAACAATATGTGGTTTCGAGAAAAGGATTGCCAACAGCGGAAACATTAATATTTTGGGCTGAACATGTTCGAAAATAAAGCTGAAAACCCAAAGTGTTGCATTCATTCTAATGTTCTAAAAAAAAAAAATAACAAAAATTACCCTTTTTTTTAGAGACTTCAACAGGTGTCTCACCTTAATTTTTAGATGTATAAATATACAGTAACGCAGTTTTGTGATCTTTGGTTTCTCATCGTTCAGTAGAATTTTTATACTATTGAGAATCATTTGAAAAAAAATGCTGTAAAATACACAGCTTTGCACAGAAAAATTTACGTTTTACGTTGAACCGCAATTTTAATAACACCTGAAAGAGTATCACTATTGATAGGAAAAACACGTGGAATAATTATCAATTTGAACAAGTTGATTAAGGGGGGAGTACACTTTGATTTTTCAAAAAAAATACATTTTTTTTGGCTTAAAATGTTCCTTGGGATGTATACTTTAATTTAGAAAAGATATTCCTTACCGCTTTACGAAGCGATTTCCTAAAATATGTACCGGCGCGCTGAGAGAGCAATTTTATCTTTAAACGCGTTTATCTCGAAACGGGGTTTTTCAAACTGGCGTGGGAAATAACTCTAACCAGTTATCATCAAATTTGAATATCGCCTAGGTTTTCATGTTCAGAATTAAATTCTGCTTAGAAATACGTATCCACATTTTCGATTCTGTCAAAAATGGATTTTTAATCCACGATTTTGTAAGCATTTTTAGGGTGAAAAAATGGACTTTTTTTTCCTAAGGCCACAACTTTTGAAAAAATTAATTTAAAAAAAATCGAAATACGTATTTCTAACCCAAATTTCATTACTAATCAGGATTTTTGTTCGATTTATGTTCCAGGATCACATGGAAAGGAGTATTTTCCCACGCCGTTTTCCGACTTCCGCGCGAGGACGCCCGCGCGACCTGGTGCACCGGCCACGGGGAGACACCAATCGAGTTCAAAAAAATACAAATTGTAGTTCGAAGGATGACTAATAAATGGGTTATAACATATTTGCCCTCCCTGAGTGTTTTATTGCTTAAAAAAATTAACGAAAATGCCTTACTTTTTGGACGTTCAAAGTGTACTACCCCCTTAATTTGATTACAGGGGCGACCCCGGTATAGTGGTTAACATCCACACCTCTCACGCCAAAGTCACGAGCTAAACGCTATATAACGCTTGATAAAAAAAACACGTCTACTGAGGATTCATATTTATGAAAAAATCATATATCAATGAAACAGTCATCGGTCGTCATTGAAAAGCAATGCAACTATGTTCTGTCAATCTAATTGACTTTTATTGGTTCTGTTGTCTTGTGAATTTTAGCTAAACGGCCTCTTTTCTGATTTTTATCTCTCAATCTATGAAATATACACGAAAACTATGTTGTAACGAAACTTCTAGAACAATATGAGGAACATTATGCCGTACACTACACATTTTTATATCATATGGGTGGAAAATTCGTAGAACAAATACTTTAAAATTCTTCACATTTTAAGATATCTTCGAGCATGAAACTAAGTGAAAATTCAATAAAATCACTTCGAATAGTCAACCTTTGGCCACAAAGTTGGTAGATAACACATTAAGCTTTGCTATGAAAGTTGTTACAGCAGCTTTCGTTGTTTCAGTCTCGAGATATAAATATTATAAGCCGTAAATTACCTTGAAAACATAAAATTAACTAGAAGCACCTCTAAATCAACACCGATTTTGCTGAAAACTTGCACAAAAGTTCAAATTAACATGACGAACAGTAATCACGGTTGACCCGTTACATTCCGAACATTTCGTTTAAAATGAACAGGTCTAACGCAGAGCCAAAATTTTCAACAAAAATTGCTTAAGAGGAGACATACATTCGATGAATTACCAACAACTGACTGTAAAACATATCTAGTATCTCTATATATGCAATTAGATTAACATCCAAAGTCCATCCTTTTTTACATATTCTGCACAAAAGAGACTTTCTGCCCCGCCCCATTCATAATAATAAGTATAATAGTCAAAAATGCATGACAAACATCAATTTTGCGTGGTTCTACGTCATACTGCGGTTGTGTCTAGGACACAACCCTTTATTTTATTTTTTTTCTTCTGTTTTGTCCCAATAATGTTGTCTGAATAAATTTCAGTACATTACCAGCCTTCTCCCTCAATAACCCTTTAGTAATTTCATAAATTGGAAAACAGGAAAATTATATTTTCCGAAAACCTAAAGATTTATGATACCGGAAAATTCCCATTGAAACGATTTTCAACAATCATAACAAAAGCAAATTGTGCTTTAATGGCAGAACAAGCTTTTTACTTGTTATAGCCCACAGGTTACCAATAACACAGTAAGATATTGATAATGAAATTTGATATTATTTTGCTCTGGTTTTGCTATTCCCTTCTCCCCGGGTTGTGAGTCACTTTTACTCATTCGTATGGAGAAATTTCTAAAAACGTAGATCACTCAACGCATGAGTTATCTCTCTGAGTAAGATTCGTTTTCAGTGTATTAATTGTAAATTAAAACCACTGATGCCAGTCAATTCCAACCACATTGATCGCATCGTAAATAGAACTCCTCACAGCTAGTATCACACCATGAACTATTCTCATGAAATTACCGGTATACCTGGCACAAAGTATACATTTTGGCGCATACCTTCACGTGGAGCTACATTCTACTGTTCTGCCGTTTGGTGTTTACTGATGCTGATTGGATGGTAGCGTAGCACATCGTTCACCATGGTGGCATTCTCATGCAACGCAGCAACCGGCGAACGAGCGAACGAGCAAGTCATCACGCGCTACTGTCACAAATGGAGAAATAAAAAACGAAACAAAAAGAAAGTAACATACCAAGCGTCTCCATCATCTCAAGATCCGCTACGCCCGCCGTGCCATCAATGTTGATACGCTAAGGAATTTCATCTCATTACATCCAAGCATCCGAGCAAATGCGGAAAAAGCGGAGGATATACAAGAAACTCATTTGTTCGGTTTCGTTCTACTACAACTGGTACCGTGAACCAGGGGCAGCTTGATCACGTATTAATATAAACATACAAATAAATGTCTACATTAAACGAAATTTACAAACTAATGGTAATACCATCAGTAGCAATTAGGTCGCTATCGTTCTGCATGATTACTTATCATATTGAGTAATTTTATTTTATTTAAAAAAAATTGAAATGGCAAATTTGAATATACCAATATGGGGTGAAATTGATCAACCACTCAAATTACTTTCAAGGAAATTTTTAGTAAAAGTTCTTCTTAAATTTGGGTTCCATGAATACAAATCAGATGAACCGTATGTCAGCAGAAATTACAAAAAAAATGTCTTAAGCATGGTTGCGCCTAAATGTAGGCAATTTATATAAAAATCACTGTAAATTTAACAGAAAACTACTGATCTCTCAGTATTGAAAACCTTTTTTCCATTATTTATGAAATAATTCAGATTCATTGACACTTAGTTTAATTGAAAATGCCACTTTCGAATTTATGATGACAACAATGGTTGCAACCCTGTGACGCCCGTTTGTTTGAATGTTTATATTGAATGCTATTAAACGTCAGTTAAATAAAATTTAAATTTATGCGATAAAATCTACATTTTTGTAATGAGAAACTCGCATTCAAAACCGTAATTTTTTTACGCGCCAACAAAAAAACGCAATCCATAATCACCTTTTTCAGCTCCGGTGATCAATTTGCCCCCGGATTACGGTACCTACTGTGGGCAAACCAATTCAATCGCCCATAAGAGCAAGAAAATAAAAACACATTGTAAATCTTCCGTTTAATTTATGTTTCGATTATACTTCCCGTAGAACTGCGCACCGCAATTACGAGTCGTTCCACTTTCCGTATCTGTGCCACATGAGAATGAACTACAGCAGCCGCAAGGAAGTATTGTAATCCCGCAGTAATTTCCGTTCTGATTAAATGGTGAATGATTTCGATTCGCTTAAGGGAATTCCCCCTCTCTCACACAAACTCGAAAACAGCTCGAATATAGAATACAGCTGATACTACTACTGACCTGTTGCTGTGCCGGTTGAATGAAGTTGGCTGGTCCGTTTCGGGTCAGCGGTGGGTCCTTCATCAGTCCGACGTGTGTTCCGGCCGGTGTGGGTTTCCAGTTTTCCGACGGATGAAATTCGGGCGGTGAAAAGTTCGGTGCAAATCCGTTTCCTCCGCCGGCTCCCAGAAGGGCTGGTTCTGCAAAAGGAAAAACGAAAAACAAAAGTTCAGTTGAGTGTTATTGAAGAGTCGTTGGATTTTATAGATAGCGGCGGGAAATTGTTGCAAAAACTTTATCGCTTTAAGACGTTGGTACGTATGTATGTCGGCAACCCCATCGTCGTCGGTTATAGTCGATCAAAACAGTCTCGTAGCCCATTAAAAGGGTTAATCTGCACTTGTGAGACGGTGCAAAGCAGCGCTTATCACACGTATTTCACGAGACGACTGTCGTTTATTGTCTCTCTAGTCCGCTGGCAAGAGGTTCGCCCCAGCCACCGTGCATACCTACATTTGCGTGCTGACAAGGGACGACAGACACAAAAACGGGAAGCCATTTTCCGGAAGAGATCGTAAGAGGAGTTTTCGAGTGCACTTTTCATCATCGCGATGACGGCGAAACAACAAGTGCCTAATGCCTGGTGCTGCTGGTAAACGGGTTTACGTGTGTCTGCATATGTTCACGCTGGCTGTCGGTCGCGGTAGAACTTTAGAAGGAATTGGGTTGTACGGGCTCGTACACCGAAGCACAGCACGGCAAGATGAGGGATTTTAATTGTATAGTCTCTTATCGACACTTATCAGCTCCGTCTTTTGGCTTGAAATGGGTAATGCTCGATATGATTGTGTTGATGGTCGTCGTCAATAGCATCATCGTTAAATCAATGCATCGAATCAGAATTTTAGAATCTTAACGGTGGATGTGAACTGCATTGACAAAGAATTGTGCTGTTAGCCATTTGGTAACACGGATACGCATTAACTTCATCACTAATAAAATTGTGCGGGTCCGTAACGAAAGGGTTGAAAAAATGAATCCAACGGGAAATCGCTGCAATTCACTTTCAAGCTGGAAATGTTTTTCTTTTATTTTATGGAAAATATTCTGAAGTTCCCAGAACGCCCCTAAGGTTTGCATCACTTTGCTGAAGTTTAGAATTTAGCTCAAGTTCAAAGAACTTGCCGAAAAAAAATGCGGAAAGTCTCCAAAGTTTGAAGCAGTTCCATAAAATTATCAGAACCTATTTGAAGTTCGCAGAACTTCATTAAAGTTCGTTGAGTGTTCCTATAGCTCGTAGAACTTTACGGATGTTTGCGAAATGTTCCTGAAGATCGCAGATTTTTCTTGAAATTTGCAATACTAATCTAATCAAATCTAATTTAATCTATCACCAACACAGCCAGTTCTTTAAAGCATCTTGGAAAATGATAGTCTTGTTTGATATATGTTTCACATCGAAGATGCGTCACACATACCAAAACGGCCAGGCGTACTATGCAGCATTTAACGGGCAAGATGACTCAGAAAACGTCGGGCGTGTTTAAATCGAAGATTTGAACACGATGCTGCAGAATCCAATAAATGGATGAACCGTGGACATCTTGTACTACCGTACGTTCCGTTTTTGATAATTACATATAGGGGAAATGTCGGTTTCGGCAATACCTTAACCTATTATCGTCAGGGGGTAAACAACGGCCTTGAGAGCCCAATTTTGGCATGTGGATACATTCAGATCATCTATTGGCTAAATTTGAGTGCTCTAGGACTTTGTTTAACCCCTGACGATAATAGGTTAAGGTATTGCCGAAGCCGACATTTCCCCTATGATTGGTTTTTTTTTAACTAATTTGTTTATTTACTAAGCTCAGTCGTGTGTGACACTTTGCGGAGCCAAAAATCAGTAATGTTTGAATTTACATTTTAAACAGCTGTAGTTCTAGGATAGTATTAGGTAGGTACCAATTACTCGTGGGGGGCTCGAGGTTAATGGGTAACAATTTCGATTGAAAGGAGCTAGGTAGGAAACTGGTTTCTGAAGCCTCCTTCAGATACTACGCTCAGACGGTTGACCAAATCCTGGCTGGGCAGGGGCAAGTAGCACAGAAATAGGAGGATAATAAGACTTGGACACAATGTCTGGAAATTGTTTGGAAAGGAGGAGATGGTCACATTAAACTCTAACATCAGACAAACAAAGGAATTCGTAGACCGCCTGCATGTAGGGAAGATCACAGGTTCTCAATACATCTCTTAATTCACGGAAGGGTTGTCTACCTCGGGCCACTAGGATATCCAACCGTCGTGCTCTGGAGGCTTCATTACTCGGGCAATTCCAAACTGCGTGATCGATGTCGTCATAACAAGTTGTGCACCTACATATATTGCTGTCAACGAGGTTTATTCTGAAGAGATGTGCGTCTAGCGACCATTTGATTGGTTGGTTGATGGAAGCATATGAGCTAGAGAGGTTCAGTGATACTCCATTTTCCTTTGACGGTTGGGATATTAGCACTAGCTCTTGTCCTAGCCTTTTATGTCTTAAAGTTCGAAAATCTTCACCGAAGTTCACAAAACTGCGCTGAAGTTCGCAGACATTTTTAACGGTTCACTGCATTTCCTTGAAGTTCACTAAACTTCTCTATAGTTTGCAGAATTTCCTTGAAAGTCGCAGAACTTTCCTGAAAGCTTCCTTAGAAAAAAATATGGGAAATGCGATACTCTGTAGTCACGCAAGGTGAGGGCTGCATAAACTCACTGGATAATAGTTGCTAACCTCATGTGAGTTAGAAAAGATTCATGCCTATATTATCGTCATTATCGATCACACGATTTACAAACAGAAAATCGTCATGGTTGCCGGAATTTATTTTCGATTTCGCGGTTAAGAAAAAAAAAATTCTATTTTGTAAAATCCAAGCAGATTAGATTAGATTTCTTTATTAAAGAGACTTTCAGCCGCAAAAAATTCAAACAACTTTTCCACCCTTCTGGATTTTTCTGGTGAAAAATACTACCTTCCCCAGCAGCTGAGTACGGTGCTAAGTTTCTGAAAGAGTTTCAAAGAGGAAAATTTCGAGCATATTTCCAAAGGAACAAGAAAAATCTTATGAAATTTTCAACGATATTCTAAAGAGAGTTTCATCTGGAGAACATTTAAAAAGCATTTTAAGGGAAATTTAAATGGAATTCTAAGGTGAAATTCTATACAACTTAGGGAGAATACTTTCCTAAGTTTTAAATGGCCTACCGAGAGATTTCTGCGAAATATTTCAAGGAAATTGTTAAGAATATTATAGAGAATTTTAAACAAATCCTCGAAATCCACGAAAATAAAAATAGTTAATGTAGAGTTAATTTTATTAGTTTTCTGAAGGGTTCCTAAGAGTTCTTCACAAAGTTAGGAATTGGGGATTTTTTCATTATCAGAAGATGGGCCGAAGATTCTCAGAATGCTATGAAATTTCGCTCACAGGTAGAGATTATGATCATATGACAAAACAAAAATTCAAAAAATTGGGGTGGGTAATTTTCCAGGAAAACCTTAGTTGAAGTTTTTGGATTTTTCTTTTAAAATTCATTACTCATAAATCAATCATTGTAGATATTTTATAATGAAATAATAATCCCTCAAATCCACAGGAAATACCTCAAATCCCCTCATACATCAAAGTATGAGTTAGGTAGAGGAGTGCAGATGAATGATTCCTTAATCATTTGGTATAATTTCTTATGCCCAAATCTCAAATCACTCCAGACTTAACGTATGAAGTAACAAACCACTTTGATTGAATGCCATATAAAATATAATCTGATATTTTTTTTTAGTTCTTTATTAAGGAGATTTTTAGCTTATGGCTAGTTCACCTTCGGAGAAAGGAGAGAGCTCAGAGTGAGTAACCCCTAAATGTATGGTATATTAACATTTTGTAAATAGCTTTGGTGGCTGGCTCTTCAACTTATATGGAAAAATAACAATATATAAAATAATGAAACAGAGGAACAACAGAAAACAAGCTACAAACGATTAATTCAAACAAAACAGAGCTCAGCTGGCATGGGTCCAATAGGGGAAATCCATCCAGCTGAGATGTCCCGACGGCCGAAAGAAATTCCTGCTATACCAAGTGGTAGATTTTGGCTTCTTTTAAGAAGGTTAGTAGTGCTGCCGAGGCCGAAGTATCATTCCCGAGCAGATCGCTGATGCTGGAAGTTAGGCAGAGTGACTCCCGAAGATTTTGGAACTCCGGGCAGTTGCACAGGATGTGTTCGACGGTGTAGGGTACCCCACAGATGATGCAGCTTCTGCGGAACGGCAGGCCACCTTAGTTATAGTAGAGTTTGGTGTGCCCGGTTCGAAGCCACGAAATCACGCGTTGATCCCTCAGGTTGTCCAGTTCGCTCTAAGGTTCAGTTGACCCTTTGACTTTGCGGATCAAGGCAGTTCTGTTGCGGAACCACTCGGCTTCCCATGCCGCTCGAATGGTCCGCATGATCCACCGTCTGACGTCCTGTAGGGGTACCTTGTTGGTGAGTCTGGGACCCGATGTCCCGGCTCCGGCAAGGTGATCAGCAGACTCGTTACCTGCCACTCTGCAGTGTCCGGGAATCCATGTGTACACGGTGTTCGGTGGGGCGTACTTGATAATCGCCTGGATCCATGGGTGTTTTGGTGCTTCCGAGGTGATCGCTTGAACGACGCTGTGTGAGTCGGTTTATATAAGTATCGGTTTGTTGGCGGCGTCGTAGCGGCACGGAAGATCGCTGCAGCCTCGGCCGAGAAGACCGAGCATTGTAGAGGAAGACTGCTGCTTTCAGCAATACCGTCTCCAAAAATCCCGATACCTACTCCGTTTATCGATCGGGAGCCGTCAGTGTACCGATGTACGTGGTCGGCATACTTGGACCCAAGTAACTCGGCGACCGATCTGCGCAAAATCATGGATGCATCCCCTGCTTTTAAGCGGTTCTTGATCCGATTGTCCAATTGGATTCGTGAAGAGTGCCAATTTTTCTCTCCATGCCAACGGACTTTGGCCACTGGGGGGAGGTCGATGTCGGCGGCCGTGCGGAGGACTCTGGAGAAGAAAGATCCTATTGTTTCCGGAGGTCTTGGCGGAAAAGGCGGCGGCTTTTGTGGCAATATTCGCGTTTAAGCAGAACCGGAAAGGAAGAAGACCCGCTTGGATGCATGCGG